AGTTGGCACATAGGCGATCTCTTTCCAGGGAGAAACAGAAACCGGCATTATTAATTTTGTTTCTAATAACACAAAATGCAATAAAGCATGTTCGGATGGATGTTCAGAATATTTGCCTTTAGCGTACTGAAGCGTGAGAGTACAAACTGTCGTGTTCATTTGAACATTCCTTTTTCTAGCTGAAATTCAGACTGTATACCATTGATCTCCGCGGACGCTGGTTGAAAGCGCTGCGTTTGTTGCGGCTCTAACTTATTCTCCACCAATCGAGGTCCCCTGCCAGCTTCTTTGAAGGACAACAGGCTGGCGCAGTGCCTACATAGCTGCCCTTAAACGCCCCAGCGTCCCAGCCAACAAGATTGTACATCCGTTGGGACTAGTCAGACGGTTTCGTATCCTCTCTGACAGCTTGAGAAGTAGCCACCAGGCATAATCTTCAATTTTGATGTTACTATAGAATTTCTTTCCTGATACTTTTCTTTTTCTGATGTTGTAGGTCTACTGTAATGTGCAAAGAATTTAATATTGCACCGTTACGAAGTAATTCTGTTTCAGTTGGCTGGTCTATTGGTGTTTCAGTTGACTGGTGTATTGTCCTGCATCAAAGAAGACCTGCACATGCTTGCTTCCAGTCAGGTTCCAACGCTACGTTCGCTGTTGTCCGCGCTTGGTGCCTCTCTGCGTGTAGATGAAAAACGTCTGCTCATCAGTCGCAGCTCTGCAATGAATTCTTCTCTTGGTACGTCTTACGGCTTCATTTGTCTCACAAAGCCTTTCTCCGTTTTCTTCTAATTCGTGATCATAATTTGTTCTGCCGATAGACGACGTTAAGCAAAAGTTTGTACTTTCTTCCTACTAATCTTTTCGCTTATTTCTACCTGCTATTCACACGCTATGCACTCATATTATGCTGGATCATTGCTAGATTTTCGAGTGTACTTCTCGAAAATCTTGCATCTAATTTCTGTAAATAGTTTCGGCCTCCATCTTTGACCCTCTGTCTGTAAAGCAACGCAGGCCTTTCCTGCTTGACTCCTTGCTGGTTCTGTGCTGAGTACTAGATGCTGTGAGGACATGCAAGGACGGGCAAAGTCGCAGGCTTAGGTTTGCCAGTAGACAGCGCTGTAACATTAACCGTGTGTGCAGGACTGAATCTCGTTTAGTTTAGGGCTCCGTTTTAAGCGCTTATTTTACTACTTGTACCAGACTTATCCAGAAGACTAGGTCTGCCGACTGCAGGTCCTACTGCAACTCATTCGTGACCTAATCCATGATTTTTCAACTGCAATCGTTTCAAGTAGAAATTTGCTTGTCAGTCCTTTATCCGCAAAATCACGATTTGCTAACCATAGTGGCTCGATTTCACGCGGATTTAAAGGCAGACTCTACATTCAACTACGAGGGCAGCTCTTTCCATGAATGATATGTATACCGACCGACGCGACTTTGGATAGTGATTTCGAATCTGCTTTCCAAATCTGCTAAACGATTCTCCGAACAAAGTTATGGAGGTTTGTATGGCTGACCACTAGGACTGTAGGGTTCAACCCGCCAATGCTCAATCAGTATAGAAACAGGGCGTGACTGGGCAGCGAACGTGTTTCGATGGCCTAGTGGGTAAGCGATCGGTCTCATGTTTGTGCGGTCAATGGTTCGAATCCTTGGTTCAGAATGTTGTTTTGCATTTTTTTGAAAATGTTCCCTACAGTTTTTAAAACCATTCTTACGTAGCCAGGAGACCTAATCCTGCCGAAAAATGTTACTTCTGAAGGAATGGGGCCATTCTGCAAGAGTTTTGAGAAGGGCTAATGCCGTTTGGAGTCCAGAAATTTCGAGCTCATTTTCAAATTGCCTAAGTCACCAAATCCGCTAAAAACTTGTATGTAGGGGTAGTTTAACATCCTGATTACGAATATGACATTCACTCTTGTCGCTGGCGCTAATGGATGACACTACGATTACCTCTGGGCTCAGCCTTAGCAGAGCGCAGATAATCGTAGTGTCATCCATTAGCGCCAGCGACAAGAGTGAATGTCATATTCGTAATCAGGATGTTAAACTACCCCTATATACAAGTTTTTAGCGGATTTGGTGACTTAGGCAATTTAAAAATGAGCTCGGTGCCGAAATTTCTGGAGTCCAAACGGCATTAGCCTTTGAGGAGCACCCCTGAATGCATTCATTCGTTCCGTTCCGGTGCCATCATTCGTTACCTTATGATGTGTCGCCAAACTGGCACCAAATGCCACTGCTACCACAAGTGATTGTCATAGGCTGCGTTTATACTTTGCGGCAGCGTAGCGTAGCGCTTCCAGCGTACGCCAGCGGCAGTGCCGGGGAGAGGATGCATATCGATCTAGCGTTCCCAGCGTCACCAGCGTCACGCTAGCGTTTGCAGCGGCAGTGCCGGGGAGAGGATGCATATCGATCTAGCGTTCCCAGAGACGCGGAATCGATGTGTATTGTAGAGACTATGTGGCCGTCAGAGACGCGAATCGATGTGTATTGTAGAGACTGAGGGCGAGTGAGAGACGCGCAATCGATGTGTTTTGTACCCTCCAGCTCTCCCATAGTCTCTACTCCCCTGCCGCTGCAAACGCTAGCAAAACGCTGGTGAAACGCTGGAGAAACGCTGGCGTAACGCTAGCGTACGCTACGCTGGTGACGCTGGGAACGCTAGATCGATATGCATCCTCTCCCCGGCACTGCCGCTGGCGTACGCTGGAAGCGCTACGCTACGCTGCCGCAAAGTATAAACGCAGCCATACTTGTGATCAGGACCTTCTGTTACCAATGAGGTTAGAAATTTAGCAAAATACTCCAATGCCCACTGGGATTCTAGTCGAGGATAGTGCCCGCGGCCTTAAGGGATGTATTGCCCATGGTTACCCCACTGTTTCGAATTTTGGTCAAAATCTCAGACTTTGCTAAAAACTTGCCCCTATGGCTAATTTGATCCCCAGAACACGAATATCACACTCATTCAGCGCAAAAACGCTTGCGTCGTGCGCTACGAGCTCCTGCACAAATTCGTCCTCAAATAGACGGGGGATACGGAATGCTAACACGATATTTCCATGAGAAATAAGTGTAGTGTTACTTCTTGATGTCCTAGGCAACCTTTGGTTCGGAATTTGTGCGAATTTGGGGTTTCTTGTGCCTTACATACATGATGAAAATAGGGGTGACCAGGTCAAAAACCTGCACAACTCTGCTCAGAGAATCGTTTAGCAGATATGGAATGCAGATTTGTAATCAGCTTCCAAAAAGGCATCAGATGGTATACATCTCATCTCGAACGGCCACTTCGACCAAACATCCGTTCCCGGTTAGCTCAGGCTATCCTCAACCCATCGACCGCACAAATGGCAAGGCTAGGACCCACGGAAGTTAGTAAACGTTGTCTTTGAGCACACTCAGAATTTTTAATCAAGGACATCATTACACAGTGAAACAGTTTCCCCCATCATATTAACAGTACTTCGCAGTACTGCAATGATCGTCGCACTCGACGATTATTTCTAGGGCCGGAATACTTACCACACGCCACGGGCATAATACACAGAAGTTTGAGAATATTTCCTTTTTCAAAACCCCTTCCAAGTTTTGTTTTCTTCAGAGCTCCTCATGGCGTTACCATTTTCTTCGGACGTTGCCATTTGCTCCGTACTTCCCATCTGCAAACTCCTGGCACAGTATGGAAACACCGAGGTAGAACATTCTATCCAACTTTTCAGATGTTGAACTTTGCTGTCTGGTGACAGAAAACAGATTCTTATCACTTTTTTATGAAAGAGAATTGTTTGAGGTACTCTATAGTTGCCCCTCCACCCCCCCCCCACCCGCCGTATTCCATAGGTCGCGATCCAAAGCTTCTAGAAGGCCGAGAACTGAAATTGTATAGCTTTCTAATGTAGCACCTTAAGTTTGCCCCCAGTACGTTAGTATCTGTGGCTGCCTGTAAAGGCGCCGGGCGGATCAGCAGTCGAACATGTACTGCCCATTCTTACCATTAGAAGAGGAAGGTGTTTGAGGTCGTGCATTGTGGCTGGCGGTAAGACATACTCCAAATACTGTTACGGCTTTGGTTAAGCCGATCTCGGCGCGTCGTCTTCGTCGCGAGGTACATTTTTGCGGTTTGGAAGTTGATGCAAATACGTAGAAATCCTCTGCGGACATGTTAGACAGAAAGAATTGTGGGCTCATACATATGGGGAGTTATCAGCATGAGGCGTAAAATCGATGAGACTGTCTTCCATCTTCTCGGCATAATGGCTTTTTCTCCATAGCTCAAACAACCGCGTGCGCTTAACACAGTAGCTGAATTGTTTATGGCCATTGGAGACAAACTGTACGGTCATCTCCGAGGACGATTCTTGCCATGTACGAGGCAAATCGGTCCGCAGCTGTGGTAGCGCTCATGTTCTCCTCAAAAGTGCACGGTAATGGGGCTAAGGTAGTGCTACAGTAGTGCCGTCTCCATACTCCGATCGCGCTATCTCAAGATGTCCCACTTGCGCCATTCAAGATCCCGCAGCGGAACATGCACCCAGCGATAGGTGACCACCGGGAAGCGCATTTGGTGAAGATGTCACGTGTGGCTGGCCGTGCGACTGCTTGGGTGGGGTGTGGAGACTGTGCTCGGGCGTCATAACCATTCAGCCCCTTTCGTGCACTTTTGACCGGAGAAAGTCGCACGCTACTGCAGCAGCGAACCCTATCTCCCCACACACGACAAAGATCAGTATGTGAGTATAGAGCTTGTCTTCGAAGAAGTAATTTGAGTGACTTCATGATGTAGTAGAACCTTCAAAACAAGGTATATTTTTGTCACTTTATCGAATATGGTTCAGTCATGCGTAGCATTCCTTCAAGACTCAAGAGAGTAGCTCACATCCTTGTATGCCTTTTTTTTGTTCAACAATCGTGCCACTTATAGCATGCTAAATTTTCGTGAAAGAATTCCTTTGTTTCATGTGATCGAGTTGGCCTTCTCTGAGATGGCAAACAGCGAGGCGAGTTGTAAAGCGTCTTTGGCAATCCTCACTTGTCTTATTCTCGCTGAAATGAAACCTACCTCCGGATCCTATGTATTGTTCACACTGATAGAAACGTGTATTGAATGGCTCAAGGAAGTTACGCCATCAGCTCACAGTCGCGACGACGCCATAGAACGTGAGTTCCACTACAAACGTCTCTTTGAGAGCAAACTTTATGATACCAAAAAGCAGGACAATGAGCAACTACTCATAACTATGTGCCTTCTCGTTGAGCATCCGTTGCTAAAAAAGAACCATTTCAGACGTTATTCCTGCTGCCAAGAAGGAAACTGTGTTGACTGTCAGCTTGGTGTCACTAATGGCTGTTGCATTTACTCGAATTACGGAAGAGAACAAACAGTTGAAGGTAATGTGTAATTCGCTATTAGTTTTCTTGTGTAACTTCCAGCCCTCCACAATATCGGTCTTTATGATTTACAGCTACTTATCAACTTTCTATATCAATTATTGGGGCTTTACGCAGCACTTGAATGGATTGTATCCGATGCTGTCGACTGTGCACTCGCCGAGATGGCAACGGTTAGCATTTCTGATTTTTTATGGATTCTCTTAATTTCGTGCATAGGACACTTCAATGTTATTGTGCGGTATGCTCTTATATGCTTCTGCAATCATTTAGGCTCTGGGTCTGTCAGTGTCGGAATTTTTATACAAAAATGGGTCATATATCGTTCATCATGTCGCCGTAGCCACACAGTCTCGTTCTGAGCACGACCATGCTCCCGTGGTGTTTTGCGCTGTCCTGGACAAAGTTGACGATAGTCGATTATACAGTAGTGTGAAACATATTGTTGAAGATTTACTGCGAGCATTAGATATGTTCAAGCAGGTAGTTCTTCTTTCGCTTTTAGGCAGCTTTTAATGCTCTGAAAGAAAAGGCTTCAGGAATTTTGCATTTTGGTCATGCGTTCTATGCTTTCCTTCGTTAAGGCGATAGGCAGATGGTTCCCCGATTTGAAGCCATTGCCGGAGGTGAGTAATTTTCTTTCCTAGCTATTTAATAATTTCGATGCCCTGTTTTTGAGGAGGAAAACTGCAGTGGAGACGACAATGAAGAAGTTTTGGAAGCTAAAGGAAAAGCTCTTCCACCACCGATTTCAGACGTTGAGCGGATTTTGCTAAGGTATACGATTTGGTTTCTTAGATATTTCCCTTCATACTCGAGTTTCTCAAGGACTAAACATCTGATGTCGTCATCACATCTTCCTATACGATTACTAGCAATGAGTATTCTTCGAGAAGGTGAGATCTTCCATTTCTGGTAATAATTCCCCGCGGTTTTAGTTTGCGATCGCTTCCTGGACTAACAGCGGATGCGAGATTGAAAGATATTGTTTCATCGATTTCGCAGCCTCTTCCTTTCTAACTTTCTTACTCCCTGATTTCGTTGAGCATTGTAAGGGATGTATTACGGTTATCACCTTCACTAGCTAGATCAAGTAGCAGAGAATTAATCGCATATGAAATCATCAGCCCATGTTCGTACCTTGCCGCTCGTGAGAACACGCAGTTCGGCATCCGTTTTCAGAGAATTCGTTCCAGAGAAGTAGATGGAAATTGATTGGCTCTTTTCGCTAAGGCAGCGATCCAGCATCGCGACAGTAACGTTTCGGTCGCGCGTACTACAGGACTGCTTGCGACGACCTTTTGTTCAACGAGCATTTGTACGTGCGTGCATCGTGCGCGCATCTGATTCGGTCGCACTCCAATGCTAGAATTGAGCGGAACGCTGCTACATATGATAGGTCTAGACGCTGCCTTACGAACCGGATCGTCGCGTTTCAACGAAAACGCAGGCGCAGTTCACCGATGGGGGGAGGGGGGCATTTTGCATTTTCACTAGTTGTCACTCTGGTGAAACCTGTGAACTCTTGTGAAGCTGGAGCAAGCTCGTCAAGCCATCATGGTAAAACCTGTCAACTCGAGAAGAGGCTGTCTAGATGGGTCGACACGTCGATGGGAAGTCGTTAAAGTGCAAAATGCCCCCCCCCCTCCCCCTCTCCCGTCGCCAAACAGCACCGAAAACTCTTTGACATCACCAGACTGAAAACTGTCCTAGAAAAAACCAGCGATGTAGAAGAATAACTTTGCTCCTCAGTTTCTATATAAAGGCGCTCTCAAGTGAAGGCATGTAATAATCAATGATCGAGAAACCTACATAACTCCATGCGAGTGAACGTTCTGCGGATTCTGTCGCACTCAGTGTCGCAGAACGCGTACGTTGGTGTATCGCCCTCCTCTTCAATTTGGGTGGCGACCTGCTTGTTCTTACTTGTAAGCAAAACGAAGATATGAGGATGCTCACGGTTGAATGCCATGTCAGTTTTAAGTATTCCTTGCTGAGTGAGAGGCTATACTTTAGCTGCCATAGTTTCCCATTAAAGTGGAGTGCTGTCTACTCGTACCAGTTGTTCATATCGTTCATTATAAGGTGGCCGTAGAATTTATGATTTGAACTGATAACGTTCGTTTGAGGTCTATACGTACTTCGGAATTTCGATGACGCATTGTTGCCCATGGTCCACCAGAACTGGGAAACGCTAGTAAACAGATTTTCGGACAAGGAACTGGAAGTATGTCAGGAAGCTATCAAGGTATATCTGAGTAGCTTCTAGGAGACGCTATCGTCTAAGCAGCAATATAGTCCAGTTATAGCTCACATAAAAGTTTACTATTGCTGCAATTTTCCAAAGTCTTCTTTTTGTGCAAACTGGCTGTTGTTTTTTGACCGATTCTAGACGGCGTGACAGTCATATGCAGTCAAGCTCCTTTCTGTTGCCGCCTGCACCCATGAGGCGCCGCAAACATAAGTTAAACTTTTCCCTGAGTAAATTCTCCTTTTCCGTTGATACAGACATTTACTGCCCTAGAAGCGATTGATTTCCCTATTCGTTGAAGTTTGCAGCCTCTTCTTGTTAAAGATTTATATCTGACGATTGGTTCAGGTTGTGGTGCAGATGGTTAATGTGTCGAAAACGTTCGTGTATCGCCGTGTGCGATACCAGCTGTGGCCTGTACTTGAGAAATGGGTGATCCGCGATCGTCTTCATACATTTGCTAAGGGAACATCGTCATACAAACTGCAGCTGTTAGTAACACAGAGGTACCTTTATAGAATCATCTCAATTTTCACTGCACTTTCTTATTTTCGTGTTTAGTGTCGCCGACATTTGGATTGGTATAGAAGCTCTTCCTGCGGATGCAGAGCTGGTTCTTAGTATATTAGCGCAGATAGGTCAACAATCTACCGACACGCAGCTAAAAACGGAGTCCGAATTGGCTTCCGAGCGACTTAAATCTTACCTTCGAGAGAGGGCGCGAAATGATGGAAGAGCTGCACTTTAACGGTATGTTTCATTCTTGAAAGAAATTATTACACGAATTATTGGAGCCACATTATCTGAGAGATGGGATCGTTAACTTGTATAAGTAGCGCAGGTCGCTTTTAATCGCCACCTTTGTCGTTAGAGGACGCTTGGAAGGAAAGCGAGCGACATTTGATGGTTAGAAACCCCGCTCATTACAAGTATTTGTCCGCATGGATGTATGGCTGCAGTATGACGTTGCGATCGATCTTACCCTCCTATGTGTAGCTTTCTCGCTATCAATCGCGCTTTTCCGGTCTCTCTTTGAGCGTCTGTGCGTATCTGCTGAAGACATGCTACACCGCTTATCAGCAGGAAGAATCCTTGTCATTTGCGAGGTGGATAGATCCGGCAGGTGTAGAAGTGTGCGAATTCCCTCACTCGAAAGTGCGCGAAAGTGAGGCTGCAAGGTAAGTGGATATCCTGGTGCTGCTCTGGACTGCCATCCGCTACTTACAGCGTGCTGGCATGTCTGTCGATACCGAGGTCTAGCAGCGAACAACATTACCAGCAGGCTGCCTATCGCGGCACTGTGTAAAGAACAACCAAATGTGAGAGAGCGTAGACGAGTAGCATGCTCGCTTATAGTTAGGCGTGCGCCTGGTCATGCGGCTCATCGCTTCACATGTAGGTGGAGTCGAAGACGGCATCTCGCTATATCACCAAATTTGAGCCGCAGACCTGGACCCCTTGCATGGGGCAAGCATCAGCATTTTCGATGAAGAATCAAAGTATCACATTTTCAGTAAAAGATATATATCTCTTCAGCAGTATTTCCTCTCAAAAATCCAGTCAGCCTGATTATTTGCAAATGCAATGTGTTCTTCCAAATTCTCAGCTGTGAAATAGCGTTTGTGCATATAAACTTGTAGGGATCACACATATATTTCAGGAGTTGGCATTGGCGAAATTTCATTTATCAATTTTATTATGTCGCATGTGTGATGAGGTGTGCCCAGATTTCACTGTTATACTGGTGCTTCAATCAACGGGTAAACTCATTTATTAGGTATGTTTTGTAGAATCATTTTCCTGGAATCAGTCCAAGAACGATTTATTCTTTCTAGAAATTTGTGGAGAAAATCTGGCTCTTTTGGAATCTAAGTACCTGTTTTTATGGGGTTTTGACAGGGCAAACATACCTCATCGCCTTAGACTGACAAGTTCACTGGTTGAAATGGAGTGTTAAGCATAGAGCAGAACTGGTCGAGATTAGTAAAACTCTTTCGCATTATGATGAGTACATGGAAAAATGAGTAAACAAACGTACTAGCCTTGTGGAATCCTTAATCCTGCATATCACCATCACTCACCTACTGACTACGTCAAGTATCAGGGTAGTCAGTTTTGACTTGCTGCTCGTATGATCTGCTTTTTCATTTAGAAAGATGTGGGAGTTTGAAAAAAAACCACCTCTGTCAGTGAGTTTCTTTAGAAACAGCTCAGGAAGCCGCAGCGTTGCGTGGCAGCAGAGCCGGAGCCGGAGCATGTTCTGTAAACGCTGATAGCTCAATAATCGCTGACATGCAGCAGAAGCTTTGTCAGAATAGTCGTCCAAGCCGCTAAGGACCGCCAGTGTCGTGACGTTTGAACAAAACGGTAGGATGAGAATACGAGGTGGTAGAGCAAATTTAACACCGTCTCCCTACTCCTTCCACAGTATGCACAAGTAGCACCACACGCATCGATACCAAAATCCCGCAACGACACTGTCGGAGATAGAGAACAATCAGAATTGCGAGGGCGCAGAGAAGTAGCGCGTTTGGCTATGGCTAGGCGTCTGACTGTCCGCGCGACTGTTTTCCCCCATTTGGCTCAAGATACACGGAGGTGAGTGTGCAGTTTATCTCAGAGACGCAAATCATTGGGTCATTTTATCTATAACGTGTGGACATATAGAGGATAAGGGAAGCAGGGAGGTCACGGCCGTGGGCTTCTTTATCAGCTGGTACATTTAGCTACGTATTTGGCCAGCATAGCCACGGAAAAGTTGCCCGTTGTTGTCATCCACGACCCGGAACCATCGTCATTTGCGGGCGCGACGTCGCACGCGACGCCCATAAGCGCGGCGGTCACGATTCTCTTGTCACATACCCCTTTTTAACAGTGTTTGAATGCTCCAGAGCTAGGGGATACTTGCCATGACACAATATGTCTCACCTGATAGCTGCAACCAACGCAGCGTGGGCTCGTTGCCCCCAAGCACTGGTGTAATGGATATGTTCCTCTCTCCCATTCGGGTTTTTTTTCACTAGCTTTCCCGATACTCCGTCGGAAACGCTGGGATCAATAAATTCAATGGCACAATAAAAAGGAGAATATCAAAGTTTACGACAATGCCGAGGCCTTTTGAGAGAGAGAAATGGACGGTGATAATATTGACATGTAACTGCCATGAAGAAAATACCTTTTTGTAGTGCTTCAACGAGTTTGAGCTCCTGAAAGTTAATCAATCAATCAAGGCCATCATTTCTAGTGAATAGACGTTCTTGGATTGTGGATTCAGGGTTTCGCTTCATCCTTCCTCCATTGCCCCTTCTGTTTGCATTTGTCAGTTAGCTTGTACGAAGTGTTCAGCCTGCAATCCTTGTAAATACGAATATCTCTGTCAAAATAATAAATGCTTCATTATGATGTGCTTGACTGACGTTTGATGTCTCTTCCGTTTCGTACTGTCCATTGTGTGTACTGCCCTTGTGCTTTGCTTTGTTTTAAACTCTGTAGAATGTTCATGCGTTCCTCGGAAATAGCGCTGCTGCTTATCAGCTCAGATACACTTTTTACCCGAGGCGAGATGAAGTAGTGGCAAGTGGCGCACTTACCACGCGCGCACTCCGGCAGTCAAATCCCGGATCGTGTCCCGCCCAGGCCAGCCGAGCCTTCTTCCCTCTGGGGACGATGAATTGATATCAGATCTGCGAGGATATGTACACTGACTGGTCCATCGGTAGGCCCCTGCAAGTCGTTGTACAGCCATATCCCGTTCAATAAGCCACTATTCTCATGGAAGCAAGTAAAGTTCCTGCCGCATAACAAAAAAAGGTTGATATTTGACGGAAAGTCTATCTTTTATCGTCGTGACGAGGTTTTCGTTAGGGTAGCGCCAGACGTGTTTTGATAGCCAGGTGGTAATGCGCGCTACACGAGCAATTACAACATTCTATTATACTAACGCGTTTTTCAGTAGGTATACCATGCACCCTAACCAACATTTGCCATTTTTTGTACGAGGAAGCGTTGTTGCTGGATTTGGGCGAGGTGGTAAAGAATTGGGCTGTCCAACAGGTGAGTGCGAATGACGTTCCGCAGTAGTTTCACCTTTTTCCTACTCGTAAAACGTGAAAGCTTTCAAAAGGGGGAATATTGGGTTGGTCCGTTAGTAATGGTCTCTTCTGCAGACATGATATTTTGCTTAGAAAACGAAATGCTTTTCTGAGGATTTTCATAATATTTGGTGACGGATTTCTTCCTCTTTTAGATGAGTTGGTCAGGTTTTATAAAGGCTGAATTTTGTTGAAGACAAACTGTGCACTAACCTTGAAGGATCCTTGTCTTCGCCATATGCACGGTGAATGGGTGCGTGGCTGCAGTGTCACTTGCCTTCCCTCAACACTTCACGGAAAAGAGGCTAGAGGGTATCCCTACCCTGGAGCCGCTTTCTACTACTCCCCCAGTCCGCACGGCCAGCGCCCCGCCGAACCAGAGCCAGGGTGCCATTCGTCTACACGCTCTCACTTCCGGTCGTTCTGTACCTCTGACTGCGTGTTCGTTACGGTTGGCATCGACGCAAGTGCGGCATCTTCAGAATAGCGCCTGCGGAATACGAAAACGACACTCGGGTATCGCCACCCTCCAGCATCGTTCCCGTGCACTTTTAAAGGAGGAGGTGGTGCACTTCTGCACCCATAGCTCATACATGGAAAGGGCCGTAATAGGAGCTGAGTGTACAGTTGCATTCAAAATTTGAAGTCGTGAAAAGTGAGCGTTACCTTGACGAAAATGGGCGTTCCTACACGTTTCTGGGTTCGCTCGAGGTGCAAGAATGCTTAGACCCATTCGTGAAATGCATGACTAGGAAGCGAAACCTCCTACTATAATAATTGGTCTAAACAGTTCAGCAACTTCATTTTCTGGTTCAGAGAAATACACCGCTCCGCACACCTGTCAGTGTGGAGCTGCTGAATCAGCTTATTCTTGAAGATGTACTCTGCGGATGAAGGAGCGCGTCAGGCAGCGAAATTGTGAGACAACGGCGCTTAACCCGTTAACCCGTTTTCTTCCGGTTGTTGAAGCGGGTATGCTACAATTATTGGTAGAAAACGAATGATTCTGACGATATAATACTATCTTGTCACTTGCTCGCTCCAACAACAGGTTTGGGAACGGGCTCGGCACCGCGCCAGACTCATGGCGCCTGACAGCCCCTTCGTCCGCACCGAATTATGCTATACACTTGAAATGCCCAGAGGATTTTGAGAATCGTGGGTTGTTTGCGGAGCACCATTAATACTGAGCTTCACTCAGTTCAACAGGTTCAAAACTTCGCGGCATGAGTTCCGCACACAGCCGCTCCTTGTGAAGCGATGTTTGAAGACGTAATAAGGAGAATCTCGTTTCGAACACGAGCTTATCAAATCGGAGCTGCTGCAGCTGCTGCTTCAGCATTTTGATCGAATGTAAGAAGGTGGTGTGGAAACGCCGTGACTCATGGGCCAGCCCAATATAATTATCACAAGACGAAATATCGCGTAGATTCTGATTTCCAGCCAATCTGGATGAAGCGGTGGTTAATGCTCTACCAACGGATCTCCCATGTGGTGTTTTCTACGGCTTGGCAAGAATAGAGGGGAGAGAGGTTGTTGATCTAGTTTATCTCGGTTTCTTAGCTTGACGTTCTAGCCTTTCTTAGTGACTTCCCGCATCTCGTAGTTATCCAACATCGATTTTCAGGTTGTCAAAATGGTGGCTAGTATCGGATGGAATCCTCACTATCAGAACGAGAAGAAAACTTTGGTTAGTTGTGCTCGAAATTTTCGTATTGAAGGTGATCAAGTGTAACAGGTAGCAGGTGCTCAGTCATGAACCAGTAGCCCATCAAAAACTCATCAGTAGAGAGAAGCGAAAAAAGTTTGGGAACACCCTGAGCACAGACCCCCCCCCATAGTGAAAGGGGCCGGCACGAGTTGGACGAGTTTATCTTGAGGACAAGCCTAATCAGCAGGATTCCAGGTGCAGCTCATTCGCCCTACGACGCTCCAGGCAACGCTACGTACACGCGCAGTTCCGCTTATGGGCCGTTGTCTCGCATAGTTACAGTACGCGGTTGCACCGGTTGCAAAAACGCGTATCTAGCTTCGTTATGTTGTCATTCTAGTGACGAAAGTGGTAGGTCCTCTTCGAGTGCTGACAACGGTGCCAGATGCAAGGTATTTCGCTTACCACTTGATCGCGGGGAGTGTTATTAAGTCGATGTCGTGTTAGCAAATGCACAGGTGCCAGTACACGGACCACAATAAACCTCTCAGGCTTCACGAATATAAGTGATGGAGTGATGGTAGGGGCGAAGGCGCCTTAAACCGAGCGCTAGTCGAATTCTAGATTGATAACAAACTGTACACAAACTGTTTCTGAGGACCAGTCTTTTCCATGTATGAGGTGAATGGGTCCGCAGGGGGGCGGGAACTCTCTAATCAAAGGTGGATGAGAACGGGCTGTGGAGCCGTGGCACCTGACTGCCATACCATAGTTCGCCCGCGCTATTTTCAGAGTGCAGCACTTGCGTCGATGTCAAGATCCCGCTGCGAAACAGTACTCAGCGGTTGGGAACAACCAGGAGTGAGAGGGTGCACACAAGTAGTGTGTTTAGCTACGGTTAGACGTGCGGCTGGCCGTGCGGCAGCATTGCCGGAAGAAGGAGACGGCATCCGAGTAACGCTACCCTCCAGCCCCTTTCCTGTGCACTTATTACCGGAGAAAGTGGCCTGCTACTGCACCGACCCATGTACCCACTCACGGGAACAACCAGTATCCTCGGAGCTGACCTGAGTGTCCAGCTTGTCTCTGAGTCGCGCTTAGACCACTGAAGTCCTCCGTTCCTCGATCTTTATTTATCGGTGCATGGACTGAATGGATGTGAGCACACCTACTTGGGCCAGGTGCCTTACTAGGAAACTGTTAAAACAAAGCTTATACTTGTTTTCAAAAAAATCAAATTCATTTCAACACTACAGCTTATTATTAATTGACGAAGGGGTGGCCTTTTGCAACTAGAACTCTGCGTTGACATTGCGTGAAACTATTCAAGGCTTTGCGTTGGGTGCCTTCTTCTGATAAGTGAGTTTCTCTGTAACTGCAGGCGTCAGGCGTGGTAAAACAGGTGCCGCTTTCTAGATTGCTGACCAAAATGTTCCTAAAGCACTGTAAACGGCAGCCTTTCAGAGTTGACCTGTGTTTTCTGGCTTTCTCGATTAGTTCTTGGAAGTGGGAATACAGTTATCTTTGAATAAAAGTGTTAGACATTTCAGCTTCCTGCTGCTACATGCTTTCCCCACCGCAAGCTTTCTCCGCGGAATCGCGCATTCCCTAACAAGAATCGTCACTTTTTTTCTCATCGGCGCATTCTTCTCTGATATCGAGTTCTTTGAGATCCTTCTCAACGAAAACTTTCCCTTTTACATTGGAAGCCTTCACGGCCATGGGGCTATCAAACGCACGTTTTTTCGTAATTCAACAAATGAGTTTTTCTATGACATATTAATTTCGTAACCATTGCTTGCTTATAGCTACCTGACCAGGCCACCTTTATAGCTACCCTCACGTCCCCGTTTCCGACCTATTTCGATAGCGTGAAGCCGCAGCACGCCCTTACCGTTCTCATACCTGCTAAGTGTGTTTGCTATCCGTGATTATTTCGCGTGAGACAACATTTCGCGCCAGCGCAACTCGAGCAAAAGTCTTATACAACGCTCGGAGATTATGTTTCAGGGGTACTATAATTCAGGTTAAGGCTGATCTGGAGTTTCTATGGCAGGGTTATAGGTCTACAAAACCGGTTCTAAGCCACATTCTAAACACCAAAAATTTGTGCGAAAGTGGAGGACGGATGAGATAAGATGGTGAAGGGGAATGTGGAGCTCCTGTCGGCCTCAACAAAGCCCTCCATTCTTTCGAAACCGGTTAATTGATACCAAACTCGTCTTGAAGGATAAAAATGCTGCCGCTTACAACTTTATTCGCTGCGGATGTATAGTGTAGTTCGCTGCGGACGGTTGGGCGTGTCAGGCGGGATGAGTTTGGCGCGGTGCCAAACCGTTCTCCACCAGTTGTTAAAGCGAGCAAGTGATATGACTGTATCATATCGTTCGTATTACTCGTTTTCTACCACTTTTTGTCGCATGCGCGCTTCAACAAGAAGGCAGAGAACGGCTTTGACACACTCATACTGCCTGACACGCCCAACCGTCCGCAGCGAACTAGAGTTTGACTGTAACTATAGCTTGAACTGATGTTTCAGGTGAGACGATTTCCGGAGGATCAGTGAATCGTCCCTTGAACAAATTGCCTGAGGGAAAAAATGAGATTGCTCAGACAGATCAATAATAAGTCCCACGTTACATCAAGCGAGAAGTGCGAAAACTAGCACTTGACTGCACTTGGATGATGATATCCATCGAATTGTTCCATCAAACAAATGGAATTCTTTGCTCTATCCTTATGGTTGCTATACCATCAAAGCACGTCGACCATAGCATGAAAGAGCTTGAAACGCCGTAGCAAAGAATTTTCTGCACTGCTCACCTTGGAGGGGCACATTTTGCTCCATTTGCATTTTTTCCCTGCAACTGAAAATTTGTGGCGCTAAGCCCCTTCTTCACAATGAACCTGATTCAATCGCCACAGAATTTCTCCTCCCAGGCTTTCTGAAATATCCTCATTTCCTTCGCATACTATTAATTTTGCTCAATGAGTCCTTTGAATGCCGCCTTCCTTCACGCGAACTGCGCCGAAATTTCTTCTCAATTTTCTTAAAAGTTGCCTTCTCCTAGGAGAAGTTTAGAATTTTATAGTGATCATTTTTAAGGAAGTTCATCTACTTGAGAAGTATGACCAGGATTTTTATGGTTCTGTGATGGAAGTTCTTCTCATAGGCTTTATACGTCCAATGGTCGCCTTTGCTGACTTAGGTGGGCATGTTTAATCTCCTTTCTCGGAGCTACGTTGAATCACTGCAATTTTGTTTATTATTCATCTAAAGCATCTATTTCAGAAGGATTGCGAGCTGCCATTAACTCCGATATTGCCACAGCACGAAATGCATTGGAAAGTGCCGATATACCATCACTTATGTCACAGTTCTTTCCGTAAACAAACCACTATTATTCACATCTCAAACAGCATAATATCTCTGAGTTAATTTTTATTTCTACTGAACCTGTGATTCCGGAGACAGCTTTCTCTGGAATGTAAATGGCTGGGTGATATCGTCCTCTGGTTATAGCTGGCACGTGCTCGATGTGGGTAAAAATGGGTGTCAGGACATCCGAGGCGCGGCATAGCGCGCGGGCATTAGTTCCTAGCTAGTTGGCTCAACATAGCGCTGCGGTGTAGAACTAATTGGTTAATGATAGTCTTCGCTCCATACCATTTA